TCGCTTCTCTTCTCTTCTCTTCTCGTCTCTTCTCTTCTCTTCTCTTCTCTCCTCTCCGCTCCTCTCCTCTTCTCTCCTCTCCTCTCCTCATATCTCATCTCACCTCTCATCTCACCTCACCTCATCTCCATCTCCATCTCCATCTCCATCTCCATCTCCATCTCCATCTCCGTCTCCGTCTCCGTCTCCGTCTCCGTCTCCAGCTCCAGCTCCAGCTCCAGCTCCAGCTCCAGCTCCAGCCCCTCCATCTCTTCTACCAGCTCAGAAAACCATCCCATGGGACACTGGGAAGGTCAAGGGCATGGACAGGCTAAGAACGGAACTAAGTTTCATGGATGATGATCATGGGTGACAGACAATCTCATCTGCTCCGTAAGAGCTGGAGGCTGGGAGAACACAGCCAGGGAAGAGACATGTTGTCCCTCATTCCCTTTCCCTAAAGCCTGGGGTTAGGAACGGGGATTGGGGATGGGCAGATCCTGTTTGCTGGCTCTGAGGTTTTGGCATTCATCCTTCAGAGCTATTCCCACAGTACCGAGCCCTGTGGTCCATCAGCCACCGGAACATCTCCTCCTTGTTTCATCCAGGCAGCTGCGTGAGCAGAGATGGTCCCGTCCCCAGGGACAGCCGGTGGGATGGGACACGGGGAGTGGCTGGTGTGGGGGATGGAGGAGCACTGGGAGGGGTGGCTGGGAGAGGCTGAGCAGTGCTGCAGACACCTTGCCAAGCTGGTCCCCACCCCACAGCGTTTGAGGTTTGCACTCAGGAAAGAAAACCCCTGCCCAGCTCCACCCTTCCTTCACCCTCCTGCCTGCACAGGGCCGGGCTGCTCCCTGCGTCAGCGGAGGAGAAAAACCCTAAAAAACCATCGAGATGAGGACTTTGATGACGTGCACAGACCCAACGGCCAGATGGGACCATTGCAATCAGCCCACCAGACCTGCCGTGAGCCAGCACATCACGTCCCATCCAGTGAGTGGTTGCCAGCAGATCCAGGCAGGCGGTGGATCCCGGGCATCTCCCCTCTGGGTGACACCGTTATTTAAAATCCAGAGCCCCTCTGCGCTGCGAGGCCAAGCCCTCCCCGAGACATGAGAGCTTCTTGGTGTGGTCACCTCCTGGAGATGAGCCTGGGGACCTCCCCAAGCTGCCATCACCAGCAACCAGCCTCAAAACACAGAGCCCGGGGTAGCTAAGGTCTTGGGGGAAGGAGAATCATAGAATCATAGAATGGTTTAGGTTGGAAAGGACCTTAAAGATCATCGAGTTCCAACCCCCCTGCCCTGGGCAGGGACACCTCCCACCAGCCCAGGTTGCCCAAGGCCACCTCCAGCCTGGCCTTGAACACCTCCAGGGATGGGGCCTCAACAACCTCTCTGGGCAACCTGTGCCAGTGCCTCACCACCCTCACAGGGAAAAACTTCTGCCTCATGTTTAATCTAAACCTGCCCTCTTCCAGTTTAGAGCCATTCCCCCTCGTCCTGTCACTCCATGCCCCAGTAAAAAGTCCCTCCCCAGCTCTCCTGGAGCCCCTTTAGGCACTGGAAGGCGGCAATAAGGTCTCCCCGGAGCCTTCTCTTCTCCAGGCTGAACAGCCCCA